AAAGAGCTCAACTTTTCCCGACTATGTGAAGCTCAGGAAATGTCTTAACCAACGGTATAGAGCACAGAAGGCTAATTTTTATATGGGTGAAATGGAAAAGGGAGAGCAAGCAGGATAAGAGATTCATATGCAAAAGAGAGGAGAGTTTTCTTTCTGTTAAGGACCTCAGGTCTTTAGCTAGGCAATGAATGGAGTACAGTATAATGTAGGATTATGGTTGGTGGTGCTTAGATGATGTATCACTATATATGGTGAGCCATGTTTCTAAACAAAAAAGAAAAGAAATAGACACCGGCACTCCAATAATAAATCGATTACGTCTATTTATTGACGTACATCAAAAGCAAAATAACACACTTAGTGCAACGTTTCGGGGACACACAGGAACCCCTTCATCAGGCAAAACAAGTTTTGCCTGATGAAGGGGTTCCTGTGTGGCCCCGAAACGTTGGAGTGCCGGTGTCTATTTCTTTTCTGCATTACTTTGACGGTGGCCATCCGTCGACTACTGAGCACCCAGGATACTTTGTTGGACGTGCGGTCAGGAGTGCAATGGGTACATGGACTGTAATATGTTTCTAAACAAAACACCATTCTGTTATGACTTCTGTATGGTTATATATAATGGGTCTATAAAACAGTGAGCTCCTTGATGTAAAAACTGCAGTGCGATTACATTTTCTTACAGCCGCCAGTCAAATTTAAACCAACTTTGGAAAATTGAATGTGATTGGTGATTTAGGAAGCAGAGGCATTTAAAAAGCATAGGATCCAGGAAGTCTAATCTTTCTGCACTTCCTACTGAGCATGTTGGGTGGACTGTGAAATCTGGCTGCAGTGGATGAATTATGAAGGACATGATAAAAGTAAATGGAGTGAACATTCTGATTTCACCACAGTGCGCTGCTAACTGATTGGTTTCTTTAAATTAGCCAGCGGTGTGACATATTGGTTCTTACTAAACAAAAAGGACATATTCATTTGTTAGATCAAGGGTCACAAGTTATATCTCTGTAAAGTAAAATATTTTTTCTATTATATTGCTAAGTGCATATTTATTGTGCCACCAAATATAACTGCTTGATGTTTTTGTCCCTTTATATGTGGCACTGAACAGTAGCTCAGCTGTAATATTACAACTGTCTTTTCCTGTTTCAAGGAGAACCACTGCTTGCGCATAAAGATCCTGGGGGATTGTTACTATTGTGTCTCTGGATTGCCTGAGGCCCGCGCTGATCATGCTCACTGCTGTGTGGAGATGGGAGTTGACATGATTGAAGCCATCTCGTAAGTGGAGCTCTGCTTGAAGCATAATTACACAAAAACATATATGCATCTTTAGTTCAGTGCTTTAGTATTGTGCCATTGTGATCAAGGAAAACAAGTAGTTACAATTAAAATAAATTACATCTCAATGAGCCAGGGATTTATGTGATGCAGATCCAGGGCTAAACGGATCCTTTCATAGATTTATTTTGCTCATTTGATGGCACCTTTTATTTAAAGAGAAAATGTAGAACTTTACTGTGTGGTTTTGGAACAAACTCCGCCATCAATTACTGAAAATTCAATTAGTTTCAGGAAACTGTATGCTCTACTGTACATAAATAAGAGTATTCTGTGCTATTCCTGCTGTATTCTTTAGACCCCGTTCACATTGAGCGATTTATCGCACGGTAATGCCCGCTATATCGCGGCAATTTACCGCGCGATATCGCTCTCCAATGCTTCTCAATGGGGCAAAGGGTCCTGCTGTCGTGGGTCGTGTGTCGCTACAGCAGGACCCTTTTTGGAGCGGATTTAGCCGTGATTCAAGCTTGCTCAATGCAAGCATTTGCGCGATATCGCGCAAAATGCAAATCGCGCGACAAACGCGCGATTTGCGAACCGCTCAATGTGAACGGGCTCTTAAAGTTGGTGTTGGCCCCACAGCGCCACGTGCTCTTGTTTATTTTTGCATTTTGTTATATCAGTGCATAAGTGCTAATAAAATCTGTTGATCTTGTCAGATATTCATAGCTGTCCTTCCGGTGTCCTCTGCACACTTCCTGTGTTAGCTCATACAACCCTCCCAGCTCTTATTTTGGACTACAGAGTGATTAACCTTTATGTTGTAGAGATTTAACAGTGATTCATTAGTTTAGCAAAAGACATCTCGGAAGGCTGAGACCACTCAGTCTACAAATATGCTATGTGTTGTCAGGGCTTAAGAGCTGAGCTCATGTTTGGAAGATTGACAGGTATTTTTCTGTACTTGCAAGAGACCATGGGGAAATGTGCATGTATTGCAGAGATGTATTGCATATGTTTTTGTTTTTTTTGCTTTGTATGTATTAGCATGCATCATTGACAATATATCTGTGCAGTCTTGTTGATCTAAATTAAATATACGTTGTAATTGTCATGTCAACAAGGATCATTTGGAGCTTCTCTGTCAGTATACCTCATCTTGTGTTTTCTGGCACATGCAGATTATGATGGGGAATATCTCTTATTCTCTTCCTCTCAGGCTGGTGCGAGAAGTGACCGGTGTCAATGTAAACATGCGTGTGGGGATCCATAGTGGACGAGTTCATTGTGGTGTCCTTGGTCTGCGCAAGTGGCAGTTTGATGTGTGGTCTAATGACGTGACTTTGGCCAACCATATGGAAGCTGGTGGTAAAGCAGGGTGAGTGAATGTAAACTTTCATCTCTTCTTACTTTCTTTCTCAGTTTGCTGGGGTTTTTGTCGATCCCAGTTCGACAAAAGTCTATTTTTCTTTCACCTTTTTTTGCATTAGATGGTTGGTATATTCTCAGTCAAACAGTAACTGCCAGTCAGCTGCAGTAACTGTAGCCAGTAGGGGAGATTCCCTCACCCATGCAGTTTATCAATGGATGGGGGAATCAAGTGTTTTGTTTTTCTTCAGTCTGCCGGGCTGAATAAGAAATATAGTAAAGTGTATGGCCAGCTTTAATTATTATTTAACAACTTTTTTGTTTTCTGTGATTTATTTTTACCATATACACTTTGAGGTTGTTACAATTGCACCAAAATTGTAACAAGATAGTAAGATGTGTTCTCATTATTAATGGGATCCTGTTTGAGGCAAATATGTAGGCTATCACTGCTGACCTGTTTCTAATATTAGCCGGCTTGACTGCCTTAGACTACAATTCTTCATAGACATAAGAACACTTGAGGTGCTCAGATGATTTTCATGGCAGCCAAGGTACCAACATTTTTGTAAGGAATAGTCAGGATTGGCAGTCTACATATTTCTCTTCCACCTTCCTGGTTTTTATTCATATATTTATTTCACTGTGTTCTAAATGTTCTATCTTCCTGTCTGTCCAGGCGGATTCACATCACTAATGCAACCTTAAATTACCTGAATGGGGATTATGAGGTGGAGCCAGGTTATGGAGGTGAGAGGAATGCCTATCTGAAGGAGCATGATATCAGAACCTTCCTGGTGACTGGATGTAGCCAAAAGAGGGTAAATTTATGTATTGTGTGTAATCTTGGGTGTAGATCCTCCTGTATGACTAGATCAGAGTTTCTTACTGCCTTCCACGCTGTAGTCATGTAGCAATTTTCAGCTTATTGTTTTAAGAATTTAGGTAAATTCATTAAAGTGAACAAGTTTAATAAATATTGCATCCATTATAATGTTTCTCTTCAAAACATTCAATTTACATACAACAATATTGCAGCCAGACCTAAGAGCGGAGCCCAGTACAACTGCAAGTCCTGGGTCCCTAAATCCTCAAAGCCTACAGACTTTGTGTTGGCCTTTGTGGACACCTGGTTAGAAAGCATTATGGATGCCTGGGTAAGAGAGGTGGTGTCCAGGGGATACAAGCTAGAGTTCAGCTCTCTACTTTATGTCGTCCAACCTGCATGTGTCTCTGCTTAGGCTGGAAGACCTCCATGGTACTATTGCAGATCTTTCAAACCAAGGAGTCTTTGCTATGGTTTTATTGGCAGAAAGGTTTCAGGGGTTTTATTCCAACCCTTTTTCACTGCTCCAAAACCTAAAGGTGGCATTTGCCTCATTTTGGATCTGAAGGCTCTATATGTCTTCATTCAAGCTCTACATGGAATCCAAAGTCTGTTACAGCCTCCCTCGATCAGGAAGACTTTCTAGGCACTATGGACATCAAGCATGCATAGTTACATGTCCCCATTTTTTTCAGTTCATCAATGCTTATTTCATTTTGTTGTATGTAATTAACATTATTAGTTTGTAGCACTATCATCTGCGCCCCAAGTGGTTACCAAAGTTCTAGCCTCTGTGCTAGGCTTATTATGTTCAAAGAGTATTCCCATTGTGGGATAGCTAGACAACCTCCTATTGAGTAAACAAATGTCATGAAACTCTGACTGTCAATGAAATGCGGACCGTTCAGATCTTAAAAGGTTCAGTAGAAACCTGAACATTCAGAAACGCTGGAACTGCAAAAACCGCTTGGAGTTTATGGGTCTCATTCTAGACACAACCAAAGCAAAAGGTTTTTCTTCCTCAAGAAAAGGCTTCTGATTGTTCACTCCCAGACTCAGATTCTGTTGTTCAGGAGCCAACCAACTTTGCGATTCTGTATGAGAGTTCTGGACTTTATTATATCCTCCTTCAAAGCAGATTCATTTCAGTTTCACTCCAGACCCCTACAACACAATATGGGACAATTTGGTTCAGTCTCTAGGCAAACTAATTTGCCTGACACAGCAGACCAGATTTTCTCTGGTTGGTCTGGACTTGGGAAAATCCCTCCTCCCACTGTCATGGTAGATTATCACAACCGTTGCCAGCCTGTTGGTGCAGAGGGCTTGGTCGTCAGGGGAATCTTGTCTCCTGATCACCATATTGGAACCACAGCAGTGATGGTACATCAACTATCTGTGGCAAAAGAAGTAGAAAAAAATTATTCTAGTGTGGACAGAACTCCATGTTCCAGCCATCTTCGTTGTTCACATACCAGGTGTGGATAGTTGGTAGGAAAACTACCTCAGCCGACAATGCCTGGCCCTGGAAAAATGGTCCATACACCCAGATGTACTTCAGGACCTGTGTCACAGGTTAGGCGTGCCAGATGTGGACCTCTTGGCCTCCACATTCAACAACAGATTTGTTGACGACATACACTGATTGCCCATTCAGGGCAAAATGACAGGTTCTCCTAAAAAAACTTTAGTGGGCCCCACTGCTTTGCTCTTTTGGAGACCTCAGTAACTGCATGGTGCTTCTCAATATGGGGGAGCTTGTGGCCACCTTTTTAATTTAGAAAGCTCCAGTCTGACTCCTACCTAAAACACATATGCCCATTTCAGAAATTGGGGGCATGTATAATGACCAGACAAAAGAGAACTTTCAGTGTTGCCCATAGAACTTGTTTGGTTCCAGCTTGGCATTGCTAGTTGAATAACATTTTCTTAGGTTGAAATGAGCACAAAGTTAAACTAATCTCCTTTTGTGTTTTTGTTTTTGACCCAAGTAATTCATACCCTGTATGATGACCTTATTACAGTACATCTCTGACATAAAGAACGTTTCAGCACTGGCCAGCCTTGCATCTCACCATTTTTTCTTTTCTTTGTTCCTAATAAAAATTCACATTCTCTGCCATGTTTTGATGATCACAGTGTTATTTACTTGGCGGTTATGTAATGTTATAATATGCCTTCATACAAATTTTGCTTTGTCAGATATATTCAGATGAACTGAATCAGCGAGGCATTGCAATTTGACATACGTTGATGTTTGCAGGAATTTTCTCTGATCACAACACATGTTGTTGTTCAAGAGACAAAAGGCTCAATTCACAAAGCTAAAACAACAAGAGAAGGATCCTTATTTAGTTATGCTTAGCAAAGTTTAATTAAATGTTTAAATTACAGTTATGGCTTAATTTTACTTTCAGCCATTTTCCATTTAAGATGGCTTTGAGAAATGAGCCTATTATAATGAAAAATATTCAAATGTAACATTTCATATTTAGTATTATTGTTGCTGTCTTGGCATATGTTTTTAATTAAAATCTGATTTTTGAAATGTAGTAAAGGGTCTTCCTACCCAAAAGACATAGTCATAGGTGCAGCCTGTTGGGATGAGTCAGCCCCTGGCTTTTTGTATATCTTGTATATTGAGATTTGCCTTCTTTAGTTCACAACTCTGTTCTTTTCCATCTGGGAGTTTTATCCTTTTCCATCCTACTTTGTGTGCCCAACTCCTCTTGTTGCATTCTTCGTTATTGAAAATAGATACAAATCCAACAGAGAAAATGCAAGCCACTCATAGTGGCCACATCAATTGTACAGATCTAGGAAATCAAATCTCAGCCGTGGCCTCCATGAGACTTACAGGCAGTCCCCGAGTTACGAACAAGATAGGGACTATAGGTTTGTTCTTAAGTTCAATTTGTATGCAAGTTGGAACAGGTACAGTTTTTTAAGTGTAACTCCAGCCAAAATGTATTTATTTTTTTTGGATAGCATAGGGAAGGGTTTACCCCCTGTAAAGTTTGTTTTGCTGTCTGTGCCCCTGTTCAGAAGATTTCACCTCACTTTCTGTCCCTGTGACAATTGGATTTTGAAATTTTGGGTTGTCGTGGACACAACTATTGGTGCTAAAGCTTCAGTGAAGACACCTTTTTCCCATCATCACTCTTACAGGAGTAAATTTCCCTTCCTAGGGGTAGATTTCCTTTCACTTCCTGTTGTCTCAAGGAGAGGAAGTGAGATTAAATCTTTCTAATGATGCAGACAGCAGTAAAAACCTCACAGGGACCCGGAAGAAGAGGTGGGCACCCCTCGTCCACATGTCTTACAAGAGCCAACTTCCTGTAATGTATGTACAGTTCTACAAATCAGACGCAAAAAGGCGGGCACTCCTAGTCAGCACGAGTGTGGTAGCATTACAACTACCCCTGCTGTACAGTAATAGCCTCTGTTTGTAAGTAGGAGTCGTATGTAAGTCAGATGTATGTAACTCGGGGACTGCCTGTATTAGTAATTGTCAGATGGTTTAACTCTCCAGGATGTATCTGTTTTGGGTAAAGTGGCCCTTTCATTATGTAGTTCCCAACATGCAATACTATACCTTTTTGGTTTTATACCCACTTTTTCTTTGTACTTGTCCTTCTGAGAGTTTCACTTAAAGGCTGTTATAAAACAATTATTATAGAAAGCTGACAAGGAGTGAAAAAAAATGCCTAAGTGCAAAGAAAGCTTTTCTTCTTTCCCTTTCTCCTCAAGAGTGCTCACTGCAATACTTACATTGCAGTGGTAATGTAAACTATTATAATAGATAAAGGTCTGTAATAAAGACTTTCTGCTATGCAGGACTTGCTGGGAGGTTGCGACTATAGAATCTCAACAGTGGAAGGGTAAGCCTTCAAAAGGCCAGGAGAACTATTATTGTAGAAGCTTGTGGGATATGTTGTTCAGGGAAATTTATAACGTTAAAGTTCTCCTTGATATTAATGTCAGTATGTCCTTATACACAGAAAGATGAAAAGGCAATGCTGGCAAAACTACAAAGGGCAAGAGCAAATTCAAATGAAGGCCTTACAAGAGTTTGGGTACCAGAGAGATCTTTTCCACGCAACAAAGGCTCCAAAGCCTTTCGACAAATGGTAAGTGTAAGCATTTTGTTAAGGGTAAAAATGTGGAGAATTGTTGGGAATGTTTCAAAAATCACTTGTGATCCTGGATTGTCATCATCAGTTACGCACATCTCACTTAGAGTTGAGTTGAATTGATTAGTTAGGGCTGATTAGAGCAATCCACTAACTCTTAAAGACATATTTTAGTCAAGCAACTGAAATATGCACAACAATCGTTCATGCTGTATAGTCTTTATTTCTACGGATGGTGCTGTAGAAAACGCACATGATTACTATGCATTTGCATAAAGCTAAAGGTGAAAAGTGACTGCTGTCATGCTAGGACAGGAGTGAGATCTCAGAACTGCAATAAGGATTTAGAATTTATTAGTTTTGGGGGGTTACCCAGCTTGGGGTGCTATGGTTACCCAGTGTTTGCACTATGTACGTAAGCCAGGCTTTTCCCAGCATTTGCAGCTTGAGAGCTGCTTAGCCACACTATTCAGACTGCTAGAATTTGCTGGATATTTTTTTTCAAACTGTTTGAGAGTGGAAAAACCTCTTAGGACTCATTCACACACAATTCAAGCAAAATTGTATATACGTGCGTATATACGAGCGTATGTGCATTCCCAGAATGCATCATTCCTAATAGAAATTTTAATGAACTGTACGCACGTAAACATGCGCATGCGCGTAACATACGCATAAATACGCTGCCCGGGCGCATCTTGGTTCCATTCAGTTTTTGCGCATGTTTACGCTATTCAAATATACAGCTCCATACGCGGCTATGTGTATGGAGCCATTTATTTGCATATGGTACAGTACGCATTTGTACGCATTTATACGCGCCGCAGTGTGAATGAGGCCTAAAAGTGTTATATTCAACCATTTCCCAGCATATGAACTATCATGGCAAGAGCTATTACACTAAGGTGCCATTTAATATTCAGAAACAATATGAGGCTAGCGATGGATGAAAGCAAGTTTTTAGAAGCACAGTGAGCATACAGTGTGGCACTTCTGTTTCCTTGTCTTTTTTCTAATTCCTTACGAATATTACTGTTTGTGTAGGTAATGCAGCGATATGGAAAGTGAATATACAGTATACAGCTGCACTACACAGTTGGTGTAGCGAGTCATGTGTAGTTTAGGTTCAGACTTGGCTGTTGTTTTGCATGGATGACAGATGTGCTTTTATAACTTAGTGGCATTAAACCGTGACACACATGGCATTTGCCTTGTCATACATTAACCATTTTATCAACATGAACCAATTGTCATATAGATGGATTTTCATCAAATTCAACCATACATTCATAGACAGTTCTCAAAAAATCCAACTATTCTGCTCTGCGCAAGCACCATAAGAAGCTGACATACAGTGACAACGTATACAGTTGGATTTCGTTGGAGTTCATGCACTATATACAGGTGAAACTCGAATAATTAGAATATCGTGCAAAAGTAATTGCAGTAAGTGCTGCAAAAGGGGCCCAAACCAAATACTGAGTACATATGCATGCTTGTACTTTTCAGAGGTCCGATATTGTTCTATGTACAATCCTTGTTTTATTGATTGCATGTAATAATCTACTTTTTTGAGATTGTGGATTTGGGGTTCTTGGGGTTTTCATGAGCTGTAAGCCATAATCATCACAATTATGACAAATCACAGCTTGAACTATCTTGCTTTGCATGTAATGAGTCTATCTCATATATTAGTTTCACCTTTTAAGTTGCATTAGTGAAATAAATGAACTTTGCACGATATTCTAATTATTCGAGTTTCACCTGTACAAGCATATATTTCTTCCATTTATAAAATGTGGTAGTGGACTTTTTGTCTGATATCATCATCATTGTAGCTGCTATCTTTGTAGTACCAGCTCTGTAATGCTGTACTGAAAGATGACCACTTGAGTAATTTCAGTAAAAGCCAAGTTGTGCCTGTAGGCAAAGAGGTTTTTAAAGAGAAGTAAAATGTGAAGCTTTTTTTTGGCTTTGCTGCTCTTCTGGGGCTCATACATTTACTATTGTACTTGGGGGATGAAAGTCAGCATATAGCAGGCTACTGCCCACAGAGCCACGCTCTATGGGCAATTTTGTTGGGATCCACCCTGCTGCCTGATTGACAGCTGGCTCTGCCTCTCTAGAGCCAGAGTCAGCTGTGCCCGACCCCTCCCCCAATAAGCGCTGGAGGAACAGAGAGGTGAGGGGGGAATCCCTGTGGGGAGTGGTTTCTGATAGTCTCTACTCTCTACATGGAGAGGAACGTGAGCTGAGCGATCAGTGGTTCATGATTGCTCAGCTTTTGGTATATGGAGCTGGCAGTGTCGCACGCTTGCTCTAAGTTTTGGGAAGAGTATATTTTACTCTCCAAAAACTTCTACTTTAACCTCCACATATAGAAAAGCTTTTTTGAAGTAAAATCTGTAAAAATGTGGAATAGACTAGAGCTAGTTCTAGAGCTAGCGTTTAGATTATTTCTAAAAAGGCTGGCTATGTATATTAATGAACACAATATAACTGGCTGTTATATTCATAGGTTGTTAATCAAGGAACTTTACAATTGTCCTAGGGGATCAGGATTTTTTCTTTCCCTACTGGAGCATATTGGGCCACACTTTATAAAAGTCTATTTTTGACCCTTTTATCAGGATCAACTGTGAGTTTAGGGTTCTGAGGATGCAGGTTTTTAATTTGATTTATTTTTGTCTTTTGGTTAATCTCGATGGACATGTCTTTTTTCTACCTAAGTTACTATGCAACTATATAAATATAAAGCTTCCATTTTTTTTTCTAGTAATACTCAGAACTGTAATGCCAATTTACAGTTTATTTTCTACAAAAGGACAGAAGCACCAATGTGGAGAGTTGATCATGAAAATGATAGCGCCTATGGCATTACCAAATAATGGTTTATAAATTGGAACCATCTCTGGCTTCCCACTGTTTTACTCAGTCAGTCTTTAATCATACAAGCGATTACATCGTCCAGGCTGCAGTGAATTAGGAGCGTGCAGTCTTGTTATAAGCACTGTGACAGCAAAACTGCGCTGTTAGTGTTTGGGGATTCTGCTGATGCTGATGTTCTCAAGGACGAAGCCTGAGAGAGGCCTCCTGGTGCAAGTAGGCAGAGACAACACAGGGACGCACAGCTCCTCTCTCAGAAACACTTAATTAAATAACTCATCAGAGGGCCTCCTGTGGGATCTGCCTAATGAGACATGCCAAGGGGCGAGCAACTCTCAGCTCACATGGCTTTCTCTGCCAAATCTTTCCTAGAGGCAAGCTGCAGCCTTGTCACTTATGCCCTAAAGACCGTCTATTGAAAACGTGTTGCGCTTCAGTAGTTTGCTAAGAACGAATCAGTGAGTCAAACAGTGTGTGCACGTGGAGTCAGGGGGTCTTTTAGCCAGTCTGATGTCATCCCCAGCAAAGACTAAAGCCCCTGGAAATCTATCCATAATAAATGTGCTCTAATTACTGATTCCATGTGAACATCCTCCTGACTAATGAGCAGAACATCTGTATTAAAATAGGCTGCCAGCACATTTGGAGTCTCGCATACACTGAAGGGAGGCTGACTGTTCTCGACGTGTCTATAAAGATTGAGCACATCAAAGCTCCTATCCTCAGAGGTTAAGATCTGTGGAATAGAAACAATATTGAGGGATGTATACCGTCAGGATTGTGCTGACGTATGTTGTCTGAGCATAAGCATGCTGTTTCTGTACAGCTCCCATGTGCCTTTGTTTCCCAGGACTGATTTTTGCCTGTAAAAATATGCTTCTTTCTATAATTCCGCTAGATTTTCTGCCCCCAATGTACACGTATTTACCATATTAATATGAGCAGTTTCTGTAAAATAGTTTACTGTGCACTGGGCTCAGAAGAAAGCAAAAAGGGTTCCCGATTCATTTTCCAAGTTCAGTTCTTCCTACAATTTTTTTTGTTCTTGTTAAATTTATATTTGAGTCAAACTGTTTTAAGCTATTTCAAATGCTTATTAAATAATTTACAATGGAGGATGCTCCTTGATGATCCAAAGTTTTAGTTTTCTGTAGAGTCAGCTGGTCCCTGAAGCACTTGCCCTGATATCCTGTTTTAGGGTTGCTCAGTTCTGTTCCAGGGTCCTATGGAGTGACCCTTGTGTGTGCTAGTTTGCTCTCCACAAACACATAGGCACAGCAACATAAGCAACTCCCCTGCTCCTCCCTCTTTCATGCTAATAGACGGCTGCTGCAGACTGCTCCGTCCCTTGTGTTCTTGTACTTACCAAGAACTTCAGGGAAGCTGAACTGAGACAGTTGCAGCCAGCTGTTTGGAAACATGATGACTAAGTGCTTTAGCGTCCTCCCGTCACCCTAAGCTCAGTATACCGCGAGCTACAGCTCGCGGTATACTGAGGCGCCGCAGCCGGAGCGGATCCCGACATCGATGTCGAGATCCGCCCAGCTGCGTGAGTGACAGCTGGCTCTGCCTATCTAGAGGCAGAGCCAGCTGTACCGGCCCCTTCCCCCGTCCGTTCCGCCAGTCAGCGCTGGCGGATCGGAGTGGGGAGGGGGGAATCCAGCCCCTCCCCTGTCACGGCAGAGAGCCGTGACAGGATCGAGAGGTGAGCGAACACTGGTATATGTCCGCTCACCTCCCGATCTACTGAGCCGACCTGTGACAGTCTCATTGTCACAGGTCGGCTAGAACTATGAGGTGAGTGAAAAGCACTCACCTCATAGTTCTCCTTTTCAGCTGTGCTTTGCCCAGTGCAAAGTAGCATGTTTACAATAATGGTGGCCCCGGCTCCTGCCTATACTGTGACAGAACTGTGTGTCTGAGCAATCACCTTGTATAGCACTTTTACTTGGGATATATTTGCACCCCCGTACCAAAATGTGGCAATTATGTCACTTCTGACTGAACAGAGCAGCAGGAAGCTGTACTTAAATAAATAGGTAGACATCCATTACTGACTTCCTTCTAAAAATGTAAGTAGCAAGGCTGACTCTAGTTTCAATACCACAAGT